TCCAACCTGGGAGGCCCTGTTGTGTTGGCAGCTGGCCTTGAGGCCCTTGTGCTACGACCCAGACTCAGAGCTTCTTGTCTCTCCTCCTCTTCTTTTACTCCCACTCTCATCACCCATGGCAACATCACAGGGGCCTCGAAGGAAGAACATCTAAAAAGTGTGTCCTGCAGGGGAAGGAGATGCAAGGGAGGGGAAGCTGGGAGCCTTTAGTGCGTTGCGTGCTGACTCTGTGTGGCTCAGCTGGCGCCTCCCTCCATTCTCAAAACCAGTGCAGCAGAACGGACAGCCACGGTTCTCTCTGCTCGGCACCGACCCCCCGGTTTTGGTAACAGCACCTCAATTTTCCTTTCACATCTCCCCCACTCTCTATCCACGTAGTTGCGTGGGACTCCAGGCAGGGGACCCAAGCTCGGTCCACGAGAGCCATCGATAGGCATTTATCAGGTCATCGGGAACGAGGCTGGCCCTTTTGGCAGGGATGGCTGAAGTGAGGGTGATGTGAGCCCAGAGCCATCAGTGCTGCCACATGAGGCGAGTGTGCCCGAGGATGAAGCCAATCAGGGAAGAGCTGAACTGAGACACAGTGAGAGGGGAGAATCCTGACATCGTGGGCCCCTGGAGGCTGTCATGCCAGAAGCCATCACTCCGGGGATACTTCAGTTCTATGAACCAACAAACTTCTTTTTTTTTGGCTAAAACTAGTTTGTGTTGGTTTCAGTTGCACCAGAAGAGGCCTGCCTGATGTTCTTTGTCATAGTCCCTATGGCATCCTGAACTGGAAATCAGAGAACAAGAACCAGAAGATGATGAACGGACAGAGGGAGGGATAGATGGAAAGAGCTGTCTTAAAGCAAATACAGTGAAAAGGTAATTGTAGAATGTAGGTGGTGGTCATACGGGTGTCTGCTGTGCAATGCTTCACCTTTTCTGTATGTTCGAAACAGTCATAATAAAAAGTTGAGGGGAAATGCTTTGCATAAATCATCTAACACATTTAGCTTCGATTAAAAATCTAAATTGGGGCAGAGTATTTCTGACAGTGAATATGAACAGTCTGAAACATGAACGGCCTGAATCACCGAGAGGTCTGAATCCAAGGGGTCATTTAACCTTGCCATCAGCTGCTCCACTTCGCACCTTCATGACCCAGTTCCTTATTTTTCTTTTTTTTCCCCAAAGCCCCAGTAGATGGTTGTATGTCATAGCTGCACATCCTTCTAGTTGCTGTATGTGGGACGCGGCCTCAGCATGGCCGGAGAAGCAGTACACGGCCGGGATCCAAACTCGGGCCGCCAGTAGCGGAGCGCGCGCACTTAACTGCTAAGCCACAGGGCCGGCCCCCATGACCCAGTTCTTTAAAAGGCCAGAAGCCAGAAGTTGAACTTAAAAATGTCTTTTCTTTATTCTATTATCTCAAAAGATAGCAACACCAAGAAAACCAAAAGGAAACAGACCAGGATAGTGAAATAATTCAGCGTGTGTCTATGAGTAAAATCTCTCTCCAGCAGAAATATCACCAAAATAAAACCTGTGCAAGAAGGTTTTTTTTAGGTTTTCTATAGTGCAGAGGTCTGTGGGTCTCACGTTCGACCTGCACGTGTTTTGAAAAACTGAATAAACTGTCAACATTTGAAAACTAGAAAATTTCCTATTAAAATCTAGAAATCTGGCCTCTTTTGAAAAATTTTAAATATCTAGTAATTCTGGGCCCATAATGGTAACTACTAGGTGGAACTGAGAAGTGGCTGTCCCTTCAGACAGGACGTGCTCTCTGGTTCACCACTGTCCCCACCTCTAGACACACATCTGGTGCGCTTCCCTCTGTTAAGCACTCTGCCAGGCCCCGCAGCTGTGTGGGTTTGCGACTACTGGCTAATTCCCCCCGGAGTAGTCCCCGCTTGTGGGTCCCCATCTGTGGGACAGGCACTTTCTAACAGGAAAGGAAGTGTCTGCAGGTGGAGAGAGAAACTCTACTTGGTTCTTACGCTGCTTGTCTAAGGGGTAATTCTTTGACTCCTCTCCCCCTGAACATCCCAACCATAGGTTCACTTCAATTTCACAAGAATTTATCAAGCATCTTCTGTATCTCTAACCAGTTGCCCCCAAACAGGCTGAAGGCTTGAACGCTGCGACATTCCTTTACAACGAACTGGGTTTTGGGCATTTCTTTTCACTTGCAAAATACACTCATGTGCCGCTTAATGACGGGATATGTCCTGAGAAACGTGTCATTAAGTGATTTCAACATTATAGAGTGTCCTTACACAAACCTAGATGGTATAGCCTACTACACACCTAGGCTGTATGGTACTAATCTTATGCGACCATCGCCGTATAGGGTCCGTCGTTGACTGAAATGTCATGCAGCACGTGACCTAGAACATGCAGGGCATCAGTTCTGCTTTATTTCCAGCTCATTATGGAACAGGAATGTAACTTCTGCTACTTGTTTATACATCAAGACTATCCTACAACAAAAGCTCCGAAATTTATGTCCTTGGGGGAGGGGGAATGAGACTGTACTCAAAGCAGCTCAGAGGTTATCAGAGGCACATTTCCCATGAAAAGGGCTCCAAGATTCTAGTCCCCAGGTTGCTGCTAAAGGCTGAAAGCTCTGGCTGGCTCAATGGGAGGCAAGCTCCCCAGCCACGCCACAGGACAGAACCAAGCACTGATGGTGGATGTAGACACAGAGCAAGGCTGCACACTTGCTGGACTTTTCAGAGACGGAAAACTACGCCGCATCTGCTTGAGCACTTTTTCAGCTCTAGATCTAGAGCTTCCTTCAGCTCTAGATCTGAGAGCTCTCCTTCCGAGAGCTGCCTAGGTTGCTTCTTGCTAAGCCGATTATGGAAATTCCTGGACTGGCTCCTAGACAGCAGCTCTGAGTCCGCACTGGGGTAGCTTCAGACTGAGGAGGATATCCACAACAGAGCCCTTGGCTGTGCCTGCTTCCTCCACCCTACCCCAACCCCAGGCCTGGTGGGAATCCCAGAGTAAAGATTCACACCTCACTTGCCCTCCATCTCTAATCTATCCAGAAGGTGACTTGTCATTACGGCCACTGAAAAGCTGAAGATGGCTCAATAATAAAAGGACACTGGTGCAGCTTGTAGTGTGTGTGAGAGGGGTAGTTAACTGATCAGAGTTATTCCCTCCAAAGCTTAAGCTAAATCAATCCTTTCAATCAGCAGTGCTCTGATTACAGATCTTCAAAATTCCTCAATTTTGATTCATTTCAGACACACAAATTAATTCAGAATAGATTCTACAGCAGGAATCATCAGCAAAATAAAAAGAGAGACAGAATAGAGAAGAATCACGCCCAGGAATCAACGTGGAGAGAACTTTCCCAAGGCTGAAAAGTGGTCACAAGGCGTTACAGTAAGAAAGATTTACCTGTCTGTCATGTTGAGTTTAGAGATTACATCAGCCTGTAAAATAAAACACACAAACACAGAGACACAAAAAAAAACCCCTGGAGAACAGCCAAGAAGATTAAAATGTCCATTAGTGCTTTATTATAAACTAATAAGGACATTAATCTTCAGTCCCCAAACCACTTGAAAAATAAAGAAAATTCCTAAGTTTTAGGTTAAGCATGCATTTGATCATCATACATCAAAAGTATGGAAAAGAATGCTACTTTTTTCAAGCCAAATTAACTATAGTTTTCTTCTCTAAAGTTTCTTCCCATTTGATACTAGAAGCTGAGCGATGACGAAGGTTGCATGACAGACAGATTTATTCTGGTGCCATCAAGGTATCTAAAGGTGAAATCAGATGGAATGGGCTTTCGTCTATAGCTATCCAAAGAAGCAAACACTTCTGACACACACAAGAGAAATCTGCCGGTCACCCAGATGCCTGATCCCTAGTCTTAGTTTACAGAACTCGGGCAGGCAAACTTTCTGGAGCTGACACTAAATGAAAATAACTGTGACATGCACAGATGTGCATAATGCAAAACTACAGAGATTACCTTCCTAGGCAGGTTTGGTTTAAATGAATTCAAATTAATTTGAACTCAAAGTACAAAACACCCAATTGATGACACTGGGAATTGGTTTAGCAATGGCAGAAAATTCAGAGTATACAATTCTACAGGTGGACGGCTTAGAATTGAGTGAACACATTCAGGATCATCTTTGATTTCTAAAACGCAAATTTTTATTAAAAAAACAGCATTTAACTCTGATTCAGTCTACCTGACAACACAACCGATATTGCTACAATTTGAAGATCTTTACTGCTTTTCTTTTAGGTATTCCAACTTAAGACGATAGTGGTTTGCAAATAAGATCAAATACTTTCAGGGATTATGAAAAAGATTCACTCAGTTCCAGACACCAAAGCTCTTTGAGGACACTTACAGACAACATTAGCCTGCCTTCACTGTGCCTCGTATTTGGATTTCCTTCCGGAAGAGCATTTACCTTGAACGTAACACCCAGGCCCCATGAGGTGTCCCCATTCCACCTCCCTGCACTAGCTCTAAGAGTGTAAGATTTTCAAAGCTTTTCAAAGATGTTTTTCTTACCTGACCGAGAAAATAAATTCCTCCACCTACTACAAAAGCAGAAATTGCCGTACCAAAAACAGCAAATAGGGTGATGGAACCAATATTTTGAAAGAAGTTACCCTGTTTGAAAGAACAGAAATGAGAGAAATGATTAGAAAAGCTGGTTCAGCCAGTGAAGGCACAGACCCCCACTCCTGGCCCTCCTCACACGCTTGATTCTACGTAAAGGGCACCATCACCCACCCTGTTGGGCAAGCTGGAAACCTGGGAGTCTTCCCTCACCCCCACACCTAATGGCAGAGCCAAGCCCTGTGGCTTTTACCTTCCCCACATCACTCACATCTCCCTGCTTCTCTCCATCTTGTCCAAGCCGCCATCATCTCTCCCCAGGACCACTGTGATAGCTTCTACCAAGTCTCAACCATTCCTGGCCCCTTGCCCTCACTCTCCAAGGGCTTCCAGAATCATCTTTGCAAAAGACAAATCTGATTGTGCTGCCTTCACTCTGACCCCCACTTGCACTCGAAATGCAGCTAAAACCCAACCAAAGCCTGGATGGTTTAACCCCTGTGATGGCCTCTAACCTCCCCTTTGTACTGGGTTCCAGTCACACTGGTGGCTTTTTGTTCTTCGAACACTTCGTGCTCCCTAGGTTTGGACCACTCTTCCTTCCTCTTTGCTTGGTGAGCTTTAATCATCCTAAGATCTCAGAACATTTTGACTCTTCCTGAAAGATACCTTCTCTGATCTCTTAGCCAGGTCAGATCCTATTCTATCCTCTCAAAGCACAATGACCCTCTCCTGGTAGCAAGTGACATGGCTGAAATTTTACGTTTATTTATCTAACTATTTGACTGATGTCTATCTTTCCCACTAGGCTGCAGGCTCAACGGCAGAAATGACCACATCTGTTTTTGTACAACACAGTCACTGACATAATGCCTGTCAGATGGAAGATGCCCAATGAATAGGGACTGAAGAAATTAACTGTGTTTCATGTCTGATCAAAGTTTATACAATATAACTTTTCATTTAACTAAGAAAAGGTGCATTATTACAAAGAATGTCAAGATAATAGGTAATACTATCAGAAACTCCTTTTTACTGTCCAGGTCTTTTCAACAATTTTATTCCACTCTATTAGTATCATCATCAAATATGACAGATAAAATATATTTCTACCTATACTTTACCGCACTTAAGAGAAAATATTAGTCCAAGTAGCATGGTAATAGCTTTCAAATTTCCATAAAAGTAAGAAAATTAAGCTATTTATTACAATCCTGTGGACTCCACTTAGGAACAACACCAGGAAAACTTGATGATCCCTGACTGTGGGCATGGACCAGAAATCCCATCTTTTTGCTCAGAAATTGTCAAGCCACAGACAACGGGAACTGATATTTTAAAGCTCACTTCAAAAGAGTGTCCTGAGCTCAGCAGCGACAGCCCCATTAGGCCTATCTCCTTCAGAAAGTTTCTTTGCTTCATTCGTTGCGATTCTGATTTGGCTACCCAAAATCTGACATTCAATTACTTTGTGTGGCATATTAATCTTTAGCACACAAAGAACTCTAAAATAACTCAAGGCAAACACAATGATTTTGTTTGTTCTAAACAAAAGGCTTTCATCTATGATGGGGCCAGCCCCGTGGCTTAGCGGTTAAGTGCGCGCACTCCGATGCTGGCGGCCCGGGGTTCGGATCCCAGGCGCACACCGACGCACCGCTTCTCCGGCCATGCTGAGGCCGCGCCCCACATACAGCAACTAGAAGGATGTGCAGCTATGATATACAACTATCTACTGGGGCTTTGGGGAAAAAAATAAATAAGTAAAATTATAAAAAATAATAATAATAAAATAAATAAATAAACAAAAGGCTTTCATGTATGAGTTTTTCCTTGTAAAGAACTGCTTTGTTATTTAAAAACAGATTAAACTAAGTCTTGGTCTGTTTACAGGAATCTAATTCTGATTTAATCTATGTAGTTGGTTAATATTAATCTAGATATTGAAAATTTACCCAAATTCAAGTTACCACAGTACAAGAACTTCCCTTTGCACATAAAGCAAATTTATCTGTTTCTCTCTGACATAATTAATGTCCTAATCTTTATCCGATATTAATAATTTAAAGAAAACAGCTATCTACCTAATGCATATCAACTGATGATAATCTTACTGAAACTTTTATTTCAAGTCCAAACTTACATCAGCAAATACAGCAATACAGTCACATGTCGCTTAACAATGGGGATACATTCTGAGAAATGCGTCATTAGGCGATTTCATCGTTGTGAAAACATCACAGAGTGTACTCACATAAACGTAGATGGTATAGCATACCACACACCTAGGCTATATGGTACTAATCCTATGGGACCACCATCGTATATGAGGTCTGTCATTGACTGAAAACATTGTTGACTGAAATGTCATTATGCAGCACATGACTATTAAAATAAAACATTCAAAGTTGACTTCCTATCTTCTTTAGGGGAGGGTAGAAAGTGGACAGAAGTCTCTGGATTTGAATTTCCAATTCACATTCGTCCCTTTCACATAAATTGTCACATTTTCTGCTGGAAAGCCAGCTTTAAAGAAATGTTTTTCTAAGAAACTATTATCTTCTTCAAATTTTGAACAAGTTTATTTACCCTCCGTCCAAAAAATTAGAAAATAAAAACTTTACATACTCTAATATAATAATTAAAGTGTCATGTTTTAAAGTTCAAGTCAAATCAATTTTTTAAAGATTTGTTTACAAAATGAAAGAATAAAAGACACTGACCTTCAATTCCTCAGTGCTTGTTTTCTTTTTAACAATTATCTAATGTCAGTAATGGTTCATAAGACTTGGGAATTTTTTTACATTAACCTTCCTTTTCACCTTTTTTCTTGGATAGATGTACAATAAAATAAAAACTTTTTAAAAAATCTGGACTGAACATCTTAGAATATTTTTGCTTTAGTACCCAGGTGGAAAATTAAAAATTTAATATGCATGTTTTGTACAAAAATTCTCTTGACAAATTTAACTCTCAAGTTCAATAAGTTGCTATTAATAATACAATAATATTTTTTATTATTATTTTAATTTAATTTTATTTTTGTTGAGAAAAATTTGCTCTGAGCTAACATCTGTTGCCAATCTTTCTCTCTCTTTTTTTTTGTCCTCCCCAAAGCCCCAGTACATAGTGGTATATTTTAGTTGTATGTCCTTCCAGTTCTTCTATGTGAGCCGCTGCCACTGCATGGCTACTGACAGACCAGTGGTGTGGTTCTGCGCCTGGGGAACTGAACCTGAAACCTGGGCTGCCAAACCGGTGAGAGCACCGAACTTTAACCACTAGGCCATCAAGGTTGGCTCTATAATAATATTAATAACACAAGGCACTAACATTTATTTAATGTGGTGGGTGGTGTTTTGCATACATTCTTTCATCTAGTATAAATCTCAAAGCAACCTGGGAGGTAGGGTTTTTGGGGATTTTTTGTTTTTAATTTCTACTCTACTCAAAAGGAACCCATAGGGGGCAGCGCATGATTAGACCTAGGTCTCTCTGGCTCCAAAGTTCAGGCTTTTTGTCTCTCCAAGGGCAGGCCAAACTCTAGTCCTTCCAACCTTCATAATTTTTTATCACATTCACAAAATAACTGTTGTATTACCAATATTTTAAGTTGTCACATTTTTATTTGAAAACTTAAAAACATTTATATTTAAAGAAAACTCACAGACAAGGAAAAAACCCATGCACACATACAAACTGGCTTAAAAGTGAGAAGCCCCTGCCCAGCAGAAAGAGTCCCACTGCAAGCTGGAGGACAGAGACCGGAAGTGCCAGGGCCAAGAAGAGTACCGGGCAGGAGCCAGTGACGACACTCTCCAGGGCCTCGCTGGGGAGCCCAGAATGGGTGGAGCAACTGTGGGACTAGGTGAATGGGCCAGAAGGAGCTAGAAGACTAAGGGGAAGGATGAGGCTCCAGCCTGGTAAGGAGAAGCTGGGCCAGGGAGAGGGAGGGAAGAAATGGAGACTGCGGGATAAGGGGAACATCAGCTAGGAGTTGAGGCCCAGGGCAGGGCACTGAGAGGAGAGACACTGAAGGATGGATGAGCCTAAGGAGGGAGAAGGGCCCCATATGGTGAGCTGAGAGAGTCAACAGGCCTGGGGCACGTGTCCCTGTCGTCCCAGGATGCAGTCTGTCTCTTAACATGTGTCAGTCTGTGTCTAATAAGAGGAGTCAACGTATCATCCGTGCACCACTTAAACTCACTTTGGCCATCTTCCTAGGCAAAGTACCCTCTATGGAAAATAGTAGCTGAATAAGCCACACTGCCTGGAACCCTGTCTGCTCCTCTCCACAAGTCAGACAGTACAGTCCAGCTTACCACGCACCCCCAGGGTGCACACACAGAGCCTCCACTGCTAAATTAACACCCCCACTTTGAAGGAACACGCCTCATGAACAGGGGAAGCCATCCAGACCAAAAACACTAATGCGTGTCTGAGTCTCACCTTGTGTAATGAATATCCTGACTCAAATATAATAGGTGGAAGCAACAGGAGGAAAAACATATTTGGACGAAACATTTCTTCTTCCTGTAAATATAAAATGGGTATTTTCAGAGGCATGGAATTTGTGTAACTAAGAAATAAATCCATCAATGAAGAGCCAAAGTAATAATTCTCTCAGGGCCTGGCCCAGAGGAAACATACAACATTTAAATGATGACCAGATGATAAAACCAAGCAGGAGGAGAGACCAAAAAAGAAAAACAAACCAAAAAATCCCCCTGCATTTAAAAGTGGAGGACAAGTGATTTTAAAAGGTGACCAACAGTATATATATATACAATGGAATACCACTCAGCCATAAAAAAAGACAAAATCGTCCCATTTGCAACAACATGGATGGGCCTGGAGCGTATTATGTTAAGTGAAATAAGCCAGAAAGAGAAAGACAAACACTGTATGATCTCACTCATATGTGGAATATAAACCAACACATGGACAGAGAAAACTGGACTGTGGTTACCAGGGGCAGTGGGGGTGGGGGGTGGGCACAAGGGGTGAAGGGAGTCATATATATGGTGATGGACAAACAAAAATGTACAACCCCAAATTTCACAATGTTAGAAACCATTAAAACATCAATAAAAAAAAATAAAAAACTCATTCAGAAAAAAAAAGGTGACCAACAAAAGAAATAGAATGAACTACTTTCAAACAGACAGTAGTATGCTTTTTATTCTTTACTGAAGAAAATTAATTTTAACGTAGAAAACATTTCAATTCAAATAAAATACTTTCAAAAACAAGTCCTCAAATTGGAGTCCTCCAGGAAAAATGTAACGGTAAGCCCTAACAACCCACTTAGAGGAAGAGTATACCCTACTCATGTTGAAAATAGCCCTGCCTGTTCTCTGCCTGTCACAGACAACTCTGCCCACCATTTTCCTAAATCTGACTGTAACGAAATAGTCCCCACCTGATTGCCCTTGTGATTTGGGACATGTCTATAAATAAAGTGAGCCCCTTGCCATGCTTTCAGATTCAAATATTAAGTACCATTATGAAAGGTATTTCTAGAATATGGCCATTTTTAGGGGGCTGAAATAATAATTTCATTTTCTACATTAATGTATCTAATTATTGGTGGATTTAAGGAAAATACATATTGGTCCTCAAACCCAAAAGGACTACGTGTAATACAGTCTATTTAGCACCACAAAATGAGGCCCTTTTTCATATGAAAATTTCTATGCCACAATCTTGACAGTCTGATTTCTTGTCAAATCCCTATTCAGAAGAATGACTAAATGTATTCTTACAAATGTACAGCTGTTACCATAAAGACTAAAATAACATTCAAAAAAGGCTCAAAATAGAAGCAAATGATGACTTCTGAAAATGCCTTATGAAGTTTTAAAATAACTGTCTATATAACAAACTCATGACTCAGACTGGGACCACGTGAAAAGAAATGGGCCGATCTCTGTGTTTTGTGGGGCAATCTATCCTCAGGATCTGTGCAGTGGGACCACTATGTCGGTCCTTTTGGAGTTTCAGAAAGTAAACCCCCATGGGAAAAAGGAGAACCCAACTGCAGTGGGTTGCAGTGTCCTCCAGCCCCAATTCACGTCCACCTGGAACCTCAGAATGTGACCTTATTTGAAAATAGGGTCTTTGCAGATGTAATTAAGAGGAGAATCCAGATGAGATTACACTGGATTAGGGTGGGCACTAAACTCAATGAGAGTGTCCTTGTAAGAGACAGAGAAGGACACAGAGAAGAGGGCCATGAGAAGACAGACGGAGGCAGAGATAGGAGTGATGCTGCCCTAGCCAAGGAATGCCTGGGACTACCAGAAGCTGGAAAAGGCAAAGAAGGATTCTCCCCTAGAGCCTGGATTTGCTCCCTAGGGGGAGCATGGCCCTGCCAACACCTTGATTTCAGATTTCTGGCCTCTAGAACTATGAGAGAATCAATCTCTGTTGTTTTAAGCCACCAGTTTGTGGTCATTTGTTACAGCAGCCAAGGAAATGCATACAGCACCTTACAGTGACTAGTGTTACAGAAAGGGCCCAGGTTCCCTTTGGCAACAACTCCCCCAAAATGGCCTGAGGTGATTTTAGATGGTGCTTGAGCAGGGTGTGTCAAATACTGCTGACCCACAGACTGCGAGAGTCAGCCCCTTCTGATTCTTTTTTCAATCCCAAGTAAGTCAAAGACACCTCAGCCTAGTGCTACGGCGTATATAGCCTCTCTCCAATGTGCTGATCTCCCTTTCTGATGGAGAGAACAGGCCTGACCTCAGAGGTTTCAGCAGGCATCTGTAGTACGTTGTTTTTATCATATTTATTTATAAAAAACGTTGATTTCCCACTTAAAACAGTATTATAATGTTTCCTTTAAAATAAATGTATATAGTATACCAATGTTCATAGCAGCATTATTCACAATAGCCCAAAGGTGGAAACAACCCAAGGGTCCACCAAAAAATGAATGGATAAACAAAGTGTGGTATATACCTCCAATGGAGCATTATTCAGCCATAAAAAGGAAGGAAATTTTGACACACGCTACAACATGGATGAACCTTAAAAACATCACGCTAAGTAAAATAAGCCAGACACAAAAGGACAAATATTGTCTGATTCTATTTATATGAAGTACCTAGAATAGGTAAATTCATAGAGACAGAAAGTAGAATAGGGGCTACTAAAAAAAAAACAGAAAATACTAAAAAAAATAGAAAGTAGAATAGAATGTGGGGAGGAGAGAATGGAGGTGTTGTTTAATGGGTAGAGTTTCCATTTGGGATGATGAAAAAGTTCTGGAAATAGATAGTGATGATGATTATACAACACTGTGAATTACTTAATGCCACTCAACTGTACACTTAAAAATGGCTAAAATGGTAAATTTTATGTTATGTATTTTATCACAAAAGCTTTTCTTTAAAAAACTACTACAAAAGTGTATATAAATAAAAAGCAAGTTGATTTAAAGAACTATATTAACATACGACAACACAGGTAGAAGGCAGGCCCAGGGAGACAGTTTGAAAACAGAACTTCATGGAAAGAAAACACCAAGCTCCTTCATTGTTTTCCTTATCTCCAGTTGCTCCCTGCAGCACCCACTTTCCAAACAGGTGTCCTGCTTTCCACAAACACCTGTTCCTCCAGGAAGCCTGCCCCAACTATCCCAGCCTAGAAACCTCGCCCTTTCGGAGGTCAAGCACTGGTTGCCTGGATGGCTCTTGAAGCACTTAACTACATTCATCACCCAACTTTGGTTCACTTGTCTGTACTATTAAATATATCACTATTATTTTAAAATGACTTGAAAAGTAACATCTGTTGAAAAATAAATTCAATAACACTGAAGCATATAAAACTAAAAGTGAAAGACCACCTCCCCTCCTCTCCTCAGAGCAGGGTCAACAACTCAAAAGGCCACCGGGGCCGCACAGCACCCCCGGGGAGCAGCTGCCGCTCGGAGCCTCGGATCACAGCTGGCCAGAATGTGGGCCTGCTGTTAAGAGAGCTTCTGCTTTTTCAAGAGAAGCTAGAGGTTCAGATTTTTATGTGAAATTTCCAGTATTTTATATAGATTAATAAAAATTTTAAATCAAACTAATACTTTTTAAATCAATTCCAATTTTGATCGATTGATTTTAAATCAAATCAAACAAAATGTGTTAGCGGGTGATATCTACACATCAGGCTTTATCCAGGAGTAGAGAAAGGGTTCCAGTCTGTACCCCCCGACCTAGGCATGAGCCACTGGGAGGGTGGTTAAATTGAACAAGTTGTAGGAAGGCAGAGATACCATTCACAATGTGCTCCAGGGGGACCCGCCCAGCCCCAGCTGAGGGGAGTTCTATTATATTAAGAACCCAATATACATTTTGAGAATTCATTTACTACATACAATATTTCCTGAATATTATTTATAACAGTTTCAAAGTGATTTAGGTCAGAATACGCAATTTATTTCACAGATTTTACTCTCCAGTTTAACAGGTAAATTAATCCAAGCACCAAGGAGCTGCGTCAAAGTAGGAGAGGCTCAAAGGTGAAAAATTTTAATCACATGATTCTTTAATATTTTGAAATGGACCTTATTTCCCTCCACAAAATCAATTTTGTAACACACAATCTCTCTGCTCAATACGGATGCTCGAGTTTAAGTTGAAATTCGAGTTTCAACGAGTCCCCGTACCACAAGGCAATGCTCACGATCCAACAACCGTTGTGTAAACACAAGGGTACGAACATCCACTAACTGAGGAGAGCAGGTTATGGGAGGGAAAACAGAGAACATATTGGGCCAGAGGGTCTGGACACGTGACGCAATTCAGCCATTTTCTAGTTCTGTGACGCTGGACATGTCCCAACTTCTCTGAGCGTCACTTTCTTCATCTGTAAAAACGGGCTGATGAAGGTACCCAATCCGCCTCACGTGGCTGTCAAGAGGACAACATGAGCTCCCGTTTATAGAGCATTCTGTAAGCTCCACAGGGCTGGACAAACACGTTCTATTATCCTCAGCTGTCAGAAATGGAATGGGGAGCAATAAACATTGTTTAATGTTTAATGCTAATTAGAGCCTTTCCTCCTTATATAGCAGGTTAGTCTAAGAGGATAAAAATGCAAATAAATAATAAAACATGACATTGAATGCTCCCATGCTAACTTGAAACAGTGTGAGATCTATGCTTTTTCAAAAAACTCAGATGTAAAGATATCAACACCAATCTAATAGAATGTTAAAAAATTAATGGGACAACAGAAACTTCACTGATAGTTCTGATAAGAAAGCCCCCGTAACCATCAGTGTTACTAAAATTAAGAACAACTGATAAAAATTGTAATTATGTTAAAAAATGAACAGTTGGCAAACCTACCTTCCAATTTGCCAGTTTTTTAAACTCTATAATTTTTATAACTGCTCCCATGAGAATACCTAGAAGAGAAAACGTAAAGCTTAACATAAGCTTAAGATATGAGAAAGATTACTCAGGTTTATTATTCTAGAGAAATTGAATATTATTATGTCTCTAAAGGACTTTTATGGATTTCTGCAGCTTTTATGTCTGAAAACACAAGAAAAAATTAGTGTGAAGTTCTATGAGTCACATAAGTTTCACACTTGCATCTCAGTCCAACATACTATAATGAAGTCTACAAAAATCGGGGTGGGGGGGAAGCTTTATACAACAAGACCCAAGGACAGTCTGCGTGGCACAGAGGATTTAATGCCTGTCATTTTTGCTACATCCACCCATTCTGTAAGAAAGCTTACAAGCTAAGTTTGCCCTGTACTGCTCATTCCTACCATTTTCAAAAAAAGAATCCAAGATCGCTTTCTCAGACTCGATGGCAGCTCTATGTACAGTATTTGGTTAGAGATAAAACCCCAAAGCCGAAAATAACCTAAAGTAAAAATTCTGTGAAATTTCTGGAACATAACAGACCATCTAAGCTCAGGCATGTTTCCATAAAGCTGACAGGCTCATTACTCTCTCAAAGTACCTACCAAAAATAATTCTCCAAGAAGCATTGTGGGTACAATTCATGATTGCTCTGCTACTCACTAGATAAATGATTCTTAACCCTATTGGCTCATCAGAATGGGAGCTTTTTATAAAATAAAGACACCTGAGGAGAACTCCAGACCTACTAAGTCTCCACCTCTGGTAGGGGGTGATACAAAGCCAGCCTGAAAATCACTGTCATAGACACTTAAAGATAAAGACTCCCCGCCCCTCCCCTAAAGAGGAAGGAGCTTTTCCCCATCAAGAGAAAGCTGAAGAAACACATTCTACTGGGGGGGCGAGGAGACGATGCTAGAACATAGAAGTTTAGTAATAGGAAAAGGAGCTCCACTAACACTAATCGCCTTGGCGAAGGGGGGCGGGGTTTGAGGTGAAGAGAGAAGACAGTAAATTTCAACTTTATAAAACTATACTATTTGAATTGTTATATATTATTAAAATAGTAATAAAATCACTTTGAAAAAGAGACCAAGACAAAATAGAGATGAGCCATAAAGGGAGTCAATGACCATGTTTCAGAACAGAAGTTGTACATTCACTTGCCAGGGGGCAGGAAAGCACTGATTCTCATCCCTCTCCAGCGAGAACTCGCCAAATGCTTCTTTCTTCTTCTCTCTTCAAATTGCTTTTACAGGGCTGGCCCCGTGGCTTAGCGGTTAAGTGCGTGCACTCTGCTGCTGGCGGCCCGGGTTCGGATCCCGGGCGCACACCGACGCACCGCGTCTCTGGCCATGCTGAGGCTGCATCCCACATACAGCAACTAGAAGGATGTGCAGCTATGACATACAACTATCTACTGGGGCTTTGGGGGGGGGAATTACAAATTGCGTATACATTTTTCTGTCTGTGTGTGTGAGGAAGATTAGCCCTGAGCTAACATCCGTCGCCAACCCTCCTCTTTTTACTGAGGAAGACTGGCCCTGGCCTAACATCTGTGCCCATCTTCCTCCACTTTACATGGGACGCCGCCACAGCATGGCTTGACAAGTGGCATGTTGGTCCGTGCCCAGGATCCAAACCTGCGAACCCCGGGCCGCCAAAGCAGGGCGCACGAACTTCACCACCACACCACCAGGCCGGCCCCAAACTGTGTATACATTTTAAGGAGTTTTTACACAATTTTTTATTAACCAAATAGTTCACGAGTACTTCGTAAAATGTTATACGTAAGACTAAAGTCCCCTTTGATGAGATTCACCCCCATTCCCATCCTCATTCTTGCTTCCTGCCCCAAGGTAACCAACTATCTTCATAAGTTTGGGGAATTCTATCAGATCCTTCCCTATCCTCTTACATATTTATATTTAACCGTACAGTACTGGGGGTGTGTGTATGTACACACATCACACCTGTGTGTATTGACATAAAATTTATGGTACTGTAGAATGTAACGTATCATTCCACTACTTGCTATTTTGCTCACTGTTAAGTCTTGGAGATCTAGTCAGGGATTATTACATATAGATCTGCCACACTCCTTTAAACAGCTCTACAGCATAGCACAAAAATGCCACAGACTGAATAGATATTTCTCCAAAGAAGATGTATAAATGGCCAACAAGCACATGAAAAGATGTTCAACATCATTAGCCATTAGAGAAACACAAATCAAAACCACAACGAGATACCTCTTCATATCCACTAGGAGGGCTATAATAATAAAATATGGAAAACAAGTGTAGGCAAAAATATAGAGAAATTGGAACCCTCATACATTGCTAGTGGGAATGTAAAATGGTGCAGTTGTTGTGGGAAAATAGTTTGGCAATTCCTCAAAAAGTTAACAGAGTTACCACATGACCCAGCAATTCTACCCAAGAGAACTGAAAACATGCATTCATACAGAAACTTGTACACAGATGTCCATTAACAGCATTATTTATAATAGCCCAAAGGTGGAAACAACCCAAACGTCCACCAACTGACGAATGGATAAACAAAATATTGTATACCCACACAATGGAATATTATCCAGCAATAAAAAGGACTGAAGCACGGACACACGTTGCAACATGGATGAATCTTGAAAACACACTAAGTGAAAGAAGCTGGACACAAAAGACACATATTTTATGATCCATTTATATAAAATATCCAGAAGAGGCAAATCTACAGAGACAGAAATGGTTGCCTAGGGCTGGGAAGGAGGGGTTTGGAGGTGATAGTTAATGGTATGGGGCTTCTTTTAGGGGTGATAAAAATGTTCTAGAATTAGTGGTGATGGTTGCACAACCCTGTGACTATACTAAAAAGCACTGAATTGTACACTTTAAAATTGTGAAGTTTATGGGGCTGGCCTGATGGCACAGTGGTTAAGTGCACGCGCTCTGCTGCGCTGGCCCAGGATTCGTGGGTTCGGATCCCGGGCGTGCACCAATGCACTGCTTGTCAAGCCACGCTGTGGCGGCGTCCCATATAAAGTAGAGGAAGACGGGCACAGATGTTAGCCCAGGGCCAGTCTTCCTCAGCAAAAAGAAGAGGATTGGCGACAGATGTTAGCTCAGGGCTGATCTTCCTCACAAAAAAATAAAAAATAAAATTGTGAAGTTTATGGTATGTGAATTATATATTAATTTTTTTAAAAGTCACAATTTTTTGACTACTCCCCCAATGATGGCTGTCTCCAACTGTTTGCTGCTAACTGCGGTGCTACAACAAACATGCCTGTATGTGCCTCTCTGCGAAAGTGTTTCCCTAGGGCAGATCCAGAGACAATGAATGGCATGAACATTTTTATCTCTGAAAATGTTGCCAAATTGTCGTCCAAAGTGGCTGGGCCAATTTACACCACTGCTCCACCTGTGTCCCCACATCCTCATTAACCCTGGGTAATCACCAGACTTGAACATTTCTGCCAATGTGATGGGCAATAAATTGTACTTTTAAGGTTTTAACTTGCATCTGCAGTCAATCTGCATTCAGTAATCATTTCTGATTACTAGGGAAAGTGAACCTCTTCTCATGGTTTCAGATTTCATTTTTAAAGCTGGTGTTTTTCTGCTCTACTAAAACCTCAACTTTCTTTTTCCCTTGTAAATGTATACCAAACTTTACCATGATTAATTCTTTTGTATTTACATGTGAAGCAGTTACATTTGAAAATTAGTAATTATTCTACTGCCTAAGTTTGTCTACATTATTATTTATGAGGCACTAGAAAGCTTTGTAAAATACGATGTGATATTACTACTACTACTGCTACTACTACTATTATTATTATTCTTTGAGTAATCCTTCTGAGACGTCCTAGAACTAAACTATGGTACAGCATTAAACTACTCCTTTACTTTTTGAGATGGAGGTTCAAAGTTAGGTTAAATCAATCTACTCTACTACAGGAGAAACTAGTTTATACCACACAACTGGCCACCAGATGGAAATAATGCCCTAGATACAATTCTGTAAACTCCCATCAGTAAAAAGAATTTGAGCATGCACGCTCAAGTTACAAATTTTTATTTATTATTATAAAAAACTGCTACTGTATTTTTTGTGTGTGAGGTAGATTAGCCCTGAGCTAACATCTGATGCCAATCCTCCTTTTTTTTTTTTTTTTCTGAGGAAGATCAGCCCTGGGCTAACATCTGTGCCCATCTTCCTCTACTTTATATGGGACGCCGCCACAGCATGGCTTGACAATCAGTGCATCGGCGTGCGCACAGGATCCAAACCTTACCCCGGGCCACCAAAGCGGAGTGCGCGCACCCAATGTGCGCGCACCCAATCGCTGCACCATCGGGCTGGCCCCTGCTACCGTATTAATATATTTTAAAATATACACAAAAGATAGAGATTGTAAAAGAGTGAGATAGAAAAACAAATAGAAATGCAAGTTCTAACATTTTCTTTTGCCCCCAATGGATCTTCGCACACACACCTCATTATGGACACCACTGGATTAATTCAAAACATCGGGAGCAATTAATGATTTGTTGAGCCCCTTCTCCCAGGATTTGTCACTTTAAATTACTTCTAATCCTAGAATGCTATAGGTAGGACGGCTCAGAGAGTTTAAGTAGCTTGTCTGAAGGCTCAGGGCCAGCAAGCGACACTGGACGGCTGGCTCATGGGTGCATTCTACGACCTCATGATGCTAAAGACACAGGAGACTGCACTGCTGCAGTCCATCTGCGCTGCGGCGACCAACTGCTCCCACGCATCTCTCCCCCAGAGTGCACTGCTGGGCTACCATTACCACCGTAAAATATGAGTGTTCCTGATAACGCACGTTACAGGAAAAATGCTTAACGTGTATTAAGAATAATAATCAAGTTACAAAACAGTATGTAGAACATGATCCTAATTCCTCTAAAAAAATATATGTATGCACACACATATTTATTTGCACTGTGTTAAACACACACACACAGTGTGCCAGGCACTGTGCTAATGTATAAAATATACATTA